CAAACAGCTCATTTGAGAAGTGTCTTGACTATGGATTTCACATTGAGCTTCTTCAGGTCAGTGTAAGACTGGCCACAACCCACGAACATAACCGGTGCTCCCGATATGTAAACCATCGATAACGCTGCTCCAACCTACAAAGCCCAAATCCCAAAACACTCTCGTTTACAATTCATACACAACATTCATAAGATCAAGCTAACATGCTAAACCCTTTTTACTTTACCTTATCATCAATGGTATCGAACTTTGTCAGTAAGATTCCATCAATCAAACTTCTGTTCCCAGTAGGGGAGAGATCCGAAAGTTTCTGAATTTCAGAAAGGAAAGGGAAGAACAACGTTAATATGGTTCTTCCATTAAACATCTAACGAGAGAGACTCTATTGCAGGCAAATAAACCAAACCTGATTAAACTTTGACAGCTGGTCTACTGCATCGTTTCCAACAAGTGCTTCACCAACAAACAAGACCAAGTCCGGGTTATTGAGGTTAATGAGCTTTGAGAGAGCTCTCATCAGAGGTTCATTATCCTGCATCCGTCCAGCTGTGTCAACAAGAACAACATCCGATCCATTTCGAGTTGCTTCTTGTATGGCTTCTTTAGCAACTACTGCTGGATCCTTTTCATAACCCTTCTCAAATATAGGTATCTGTTTCCAAATTCCACCACCCAANTAAAAAATCAGTATTTACACCAATAATCGTTAAATCAGGCACCAATAATCAACGATTATTTGAATATTCAAAACAGCAGAAAATTCATTACCTGTAACCTACGAGCATGGGTCCGTAACTGCTCAACGGCTCCAGAACGGAATGTGTCACAAGCAGCCATCATTACACTGACATTATGCTGCAAAAGCCAATACGCCACTTTGGCCAGATTGGTGGATTTCCCAACTCCGTTGACTCCAACAAACACAACCACATAAGGTCTCCTCTGTTCTTTGGCAGCATGAACGTCTCTCAGTATATCAATGGAGCGTCTCGGAGTCAATATACGAACCAGAGCATCCTCCATTGCTCCCTGAAGTCATATGTTTCACCACAATTAAGCCACCTTAAAATTGCACAGTGGAACGTTATCTAGATTCAATTCGACCAACGAGGACAAAGCACAACACCTGAACGGTTGAAGAGATCCTTGTGAACGATGCCAACTTCTTTCCTTCAAGACTTGCTTCCACTGATTCACAAAGCTTCCCAGCTATCTCTTCAGCCTGTGAATGAAAAGCCCAAGTTCATGTAAGACACATTCCAAACATAAGAAATGATGCACCGTATAGTGTATAGACACATACCACATTCTTGGTCATGAGCCGTTCCTTCAGAGCTTTCAACGCCGGTTCAAGGTCTGTCCTTTCAAGATTCGCTTTCCCAGTAATACTGAACACAGATTGCAGTATATGTTTAATACCAGATGATAGAATAGATTAGTAAATTAGCAACAAATTCAACAAGATAAACGGTAACCTCTGGAAAACGGAAGAGAACCAGCCTTTTTTCTTAGCCTCAGGCTTCTCATCACTTCCTGGTTCGTCATCATCTTCACTTTCACTATCACTACTAAAAACCTCTTCCTTGTCCATCATACTTTCACCTTGGTCAGCAGCCACAATATCTACATGATCGTTGTTCCCATTTTCATCCACGGAATCCGTGAAGTCCAGTTTCTCTTGTTTAGGAGCCGCGTCATCCCAAACCCTATTCTTCTTTGTCGCCTTTTTCGCTGGTTCCGCAGCAGTTACCTTGGAACCTTTATTACCTATACTGTCAGCTTTCCTTATACCTCCCCTACCTCTTACTCCTTTACTCCTTAGTTTCTGAAGTTTACTTAAATCAAGTGCAACGTTATCAGTCGTGTTTTCTTTCCCGTTAGCAAGATCACTCGTCTGAGAATCATCTTCCATCTGATGATTACCATTGGAATGACCATTCGTCAAGTTACCGACTTTAGCTTTGTTACCATCTCCATCATCTTTCTTCGAGCCGCCACTTTCGCTGATCCTTTTGTTACCTCCTTCAAGACCAGACTTTGAGACTTGCCCTTGCTTCTTAACATTACCCAAAGGCTTTCCCACTTGCTTAGTCTTCCTCAATTCCTCGGCCCGAGATTCAGCTTCTTTCCTAAGCTGCCTAAAAGTCTCGTCGAAATCATCGTAAGCCATCCGTTTCGGATCGTAGATCTCGGCGAAGCTTTGCTTGACCAGAGAAAGCAAATCATCCACATAAAGCAAGTGGAGAATCCGCTGATAAACAGCGACGAAAACGAGCCCGAGATCGTTGTGGAACGTCCACTTGAGAGTGTAGGCAGCACCATGAGCATCGTAGTTAAACGAAACATCACCAGATCGTTCCTCAAGAAGACAAGATCGGATCAGAGTATCGATCGGTGATCCTTTAAGAGCATTACCAATCTCTTTGCATGTCCAAAGGATTAATCCTCCTCGTGTAAAGATTAAAAGCTGTTCTAACATCTTCAATTCGTAACCCTGACAAAAATCAAAAATCAAAGAATGATTACCCTTAAATTTCATCAAATCAACAACGCGAATCTTCCAATTTCTAATTCCATAAACTAAATCCGATTAAGCATCAAGAAACCAAATCAACGGATCAGGAAATCGATCAGAGATTCGAATTGAAGATCTTAAGATCGGAAAGGAAACCAAACAGAAGACGGATCTTGGGTTTCGATTTGAAAAATGACGAGAAAGAGATTGAGAGAGGAATAGATCAGAAACGTAGAGATCGAGAGGGGAGGATCCAAACCTTGATTTTTGTCCTTTCTTGATACAATTGAAACG